CAGTCTTTTATTGTTAGGAAGAGCTGGTGGATTATTGGTTTTAAAGGGAAGGGGCATCTCATGGTGCCCATCTGCTCTTTGCTTTATTGCATCACTCAGAATTTGTATAAAAAGCACATCATCCTGAGATACATACTTATCCTCATAGTGTCTCTCATTAAAATCCGACTCCAGGACCTTAGTACATCTGCAACTACTGGCGTAGGCATTTCTTTGACCTTTATTCTGTGCACATAACCATGGCTATCTTCCTTTTCAAGGTGGAGATTACAGGACCCGATAATACTCCATCCTAATATGGTTCTTTGAGCAAAGGGTTCATTTACTTTTCCTGTGACGACTTCTAAGGGGGCTAGTGCTGATGGACAGTCATAACCGATCAGTAAACCAACTTCACAGTCATGTAATGGCTGCAACTTGTTTGCTAATTTTTCAAGGTGGGACCACTGAAGTGCGGTTTCATGAGTAGGGATGTGAGACTTGTCAACTGGGATAAAGTCACGAGAATAAGTTTGTTTGATTTGAATATGAGTTTTAGAGTCAAACCCATGCACTTGTAAGTTGTCAACAAGTTTACTAGCGACAACTGTGTTAACCGAGGTCATCGTGCTAAGTTTTAACTTCACTGGTTGAGCATTAACTCCCAGTTCTGAAACCAAATCCTCTAAAATAAATGATGAGTCACTTTGGTTGTCAAGCAGAGCATACGTAAGTATTTCTTAATAAGGCTCAGATAAAACGGACACAAAAACGGGTACTATGCTAGACGTAGAAGAGGTTTTTCTTGTCAAAATATGGGTCATGATGTTATGTGCCTCAGCTGGGGTTTCAATATCCTCAGTTTTTATCAGTTTAGGTTCAGTTACTCTTTCTATGTGCAGACAGGTTGGGTGACGTCGTCCACACTTTCTGCAGGAATGACGTCCTCGGCATTCTTTGGATGAGTGACCTTTTCTCAGACATCCAAAGCAAAGATGATTTTCATAAATGAACGATTTCTTGTCACTATCAGACTCTGCTTCAAACTTTGGACACAGAGCTACAACATGATAATCATCTTCACAGAACAAACAAGGTGGCTTAGGTCCAAAGGAGGATACTGAAGGAGACTCGGTGCGTTGCAAAGTAGACTTTGGTTGGGTGTTGGTACTAAATGTTTTAGCTCTTTTAATGAAGGCTCTCTCTTCTGAGGTTTTTTCATTCATTAGAAAAGGTGAAGCAACAGGATTGCAGACAACTTTAGCTTCCTTTTGTAAAAACCCTGTAAATCTGATGAAGTCAGGATATTCTTGGCTTTTATCCAATTCCTCCACCACAACACGACTCTATCTTTGTACTATTCATTCAGGTAATTTTCTTAAAAGCTTGTGATTTTCCTCACAATCATTAGGAATATCCAAACCCTTAACCTGATGGATAGCTTCTGCGCAGCTTTGTAGGAAATCTGCAAACTCAGTGCTATAGGATCATTTGCAGCTGTTCTAGGCCACTTTGTAAGCTTAGCCCAAAAAGCACTTTGGATGATAAACGGGCTGCCATACCTTTCCTGTAAGACACTTCAAATGCCCACATATGCCTGCTCACTGTTACATAAAAATACCCTTCTACTGCTCGAAGTGCTTCATCTGCAAGATACCTCTTCAGATGTAACATTTTTTCACACACAGGTAAAGGTTTATCACCAATAAGTACAATGAAGGATGTCTTCCAGTCCACATGATCTTATGATAATCATGATCTTAGAGGGTCACCGCTAAAAACAGTGGGCTCAGGTACAGAGAGTCTGTTTAAGGCAAGGGAGCTGCAAGAGCCTGAGCTAAGTCAAAATCTTCTCATTCTAGGACAGCAGCTTGGGGCACAGATCTTGGTGCCTGTGGATTTAGGAAGTGATGGTGTTGTGTTGTACTATCATGGGAGTGTTTAGAACGTTCAGAGGCTAGGGTCTGGCTTTCAGTGTCATTTTGAGCACTGAGAGCTCTTACCCGTGCTGCTGCTACCTTCACTTCTCTGTCAGCCTTTAATCTTTGAAGTTTAATTTTTTCATCCTCCAACTTTGCCTTTGATTCGACTTCCTTTATCTTCCATTCAGTTTCCATTTGATTGATTTTACTTTGCTGCACCAGTATTTCTTTTGTGGCCTTTGTTTGCTCCACTTTGACTGCGAGTTCGGCTTCCGCTTCCACATCCCGACTGCCTGAAGAATCTGTCATTGAGTGTATAGCTGAACCGTCTGAATGTGAAGTTTCGGTTTTTGAATCGCCAAACACAGAATCAGTCTTTTTTTTATTTAACATCATACCTACTCTTTCCTTTTCAAGGTGATTATTGAAAGGCTCATCATTAGGTTCCTGTCGTTTGGCGATCACTTCACAAATGTCAGCTGTAAGCACTACACAGGCATCCATCCTCTTAACGATCTCTGATGTCATAGTTTGATTATGGAGGAGAGGATCATAATGTTGTTGTACAGCAGCTTGCTTATCACGGATGTTGTGGGTGGCGCTATTTAGCTCTTCAGGAGAGCAGAAGCCTTATAAGTTTGTCCTAATATCTTTAGCTGCCTTCTTTCAACCATCATATGTATTATGGAATGCACTGTTATGTTTCTTTGCCATCTGTTCCTTCATTTCTTTACCCGTTTCAGTTAGACACTTCTCACGGGTGCTGGATCTCACCCTTTGTGGCTCTTTTTTACCGGTTTCTTCATTTGAGTCCAACATTGTGTATGTCAATTTGTGTGACTTAACGTAGTGGAGTTACTCTTTTAGATGCTCATACTCACAATAAACATTTAACACCGCATTGACAAAGGGCAAAAGAGTGCAGAGTAAATATAGAGTGTCATCTATTTACAAACTCATTTTCTAATTGAGTGGAAAGTACAGGAACCACAAAGTGCACAGCAATAGTCTCTTATGTCAATAGTCCATACAAAGTTCCTTTTCTGCAGGATCTTCAAAGCATAAGTTCCCTTTGACTCGAACAAACTGCACTTATCTGGAATGGAGCCTTCCTTTGTGACGTATGCAGCTTAATTGCTCAGGTTGCAGCACGGATCCCCATTTCTGATCTCAGTGGCTGCATCTGCAGGTGGCTGAAGACTAAAGAAGATGGGGCAATGTCGGTTATACAGACCTGGTTTCAGAAAAACATCCTTAGTAAAATATTCAGAGTGAGTCCTATCTGCAGTAATACCTCATTAACGCAAATTAAAAACTGTTCGTTTATGAACTCATGATGAACACAGGCTTCAACCTCTGGACATCTGCTGTGATTCAGGCCCTGTCCACACGTAGCCGGGGATCTGCCAAAACGTAGATATTTTTCTACGTTTTGGCCTGTCATCCACACGAAAACGGATCTTTTTAAAAACTCCGGCCAAAGTGAAGATCTGCGTTTTCTCCGTTCTGGGTGTCTGCGTGTGGACAGACAAAACCGGAGTTTTAAGGTCCGCAACGTCACTTTTCGCGACAAAAAATGCTGACATCACGTGTGCGACCTGTGTTTACACTAGCCGGCATCATGGAAGCCTTCGGAGCTGCGCTCTGTCACTACCCGATCCATCAATTGTCCAAGCGCTTTCTGCTTGTTTGTTTTTGCAAGCGGAATTACTGCTCCTTGCGGAAGACCACAGACGAAGGACGAGGTTAAGAACGGGGGAAGTACTGCCGCCTACAGGTCTGGCATGTCCTTAACAACGTATTTATCCGGGTACATGTGGACAGAGTTTGTTTTTAAAACGCGGTGGTGTGGATGCAAGTTTTTGGAGGGGCGGATATTCGTTTTTAAAAAACCCCGGCTACTTGTGGACTAGGCCTCAGTTTCAGCTAATTTCCCTCAACAGTTTCAGCTGATTGTCCCATTTAGTAATAAAACACAATTTTTGAAGCTCTTTCTCTCTCTCTGTTCTGTGTTGCACAGCCATCAGGATCACGCATCCAGAGGCAGAGAAAAAAGATACACCTCCAACCTCATTTTAATATTGTCAATAAAAATTGCAGCAAAGCATCATTTTAAGTAAAACTTAACTTTCATGAGCAAAAACTCAAAAAATAATCAGGAAAGCAGGAAGAAATGTTGTTTCTACATTTTTACTTGAGTTCAAACTATTTAGAAATTTGTTTTTAATCACATTTAACTTGTATTTTATTTATAATATCTTCAACTTTATATATTTTATGAGAAAAGGTTGTGTTGCATGTTTGGAAAAACAATCATAACATAACAATTACTTGAAATGTTTTGTATTTAAGGGTATTTAAATAACATTAAATGTTCTTTGAATGACCTTCTATAGTTTTTAGAAGTTTTTGTTCATTAATGGCAGAATAGATCAACACTTTAAAAAATGGACATTGCTGCTTAGGTCAGGGCATGGGGTCAGAGACTGAACAGGAACAGGTTGGCTGCTCCTGTGTGCTCAAAATGTTATGTTACTGATCCATTCTACATAAAAAATCGTTCACATGAAGTAGTTTTGTATTTCATTATCTAAAAGTATCTGATTAGTTAATAAACACAATGTTTTGTTTAGATTGATTTTCAGAATCATTAATATCGCATTTCATTTTTATAATATTGATGCATTGAAATACAGAGAAGTCAACTAGTGAATACAATGTATGTTAATATAGTAAGCACAGCATTTTTTTAATATAAGCATATGCACACAAGGAAAGTATCAATGTAATACATCGAATGGCAGTAACTCTTCTGCACTTTTATTTTGTAAAACTAGCTCACGGGCCAACAAAGGTTGGTGACCCCTGGATTACAGATTTACAAGCTGATGTTTTAAAATGAACCGTGTAAATCCAGAGTAGTTAGATCAATACTTTTAGCTGATAAAAATGTAAATTAAGTTAAATGTTCTAGTCATATTCTGCTCCTATTTGTCAAAAACACATTCATATAGAGGACAGGAATTTAAACACTAAAAATATTGAAGTGACTTGCTTAAATGCTTTAGATTCTGTGTGTTTGTGTGTCATGTTACACAGGAGGAGGACGCTGACGAGGATACTCTGACCACAGACGCTCTGAGTCCAGAGACCGTCTCGGCCCACAAGGCAGATTCACAGGTCAGCAGCTCCTCCGTCTTCCTGTGGTTAAATGATGTGCTTCCCATAATTCTGCTGCTCATCTGTCTACGTGTCCGTAGGTGCAGGCCCTCCTGCAGGAGGTGGAGAAGCTCAGAGAGGAGCTAAGGAGTCGAGATCGAACCATCGCCCAGCTCACCATGCAGCTGGTCTGTGTCTCACTGCTAAAGTGGATCTAACCGCTACTTCACACTGGACGCATCAGAGCGGCAGCAACGTCACAGCTTCAAATAGAATCCATTATAGTCTATGGGGGTGTTTCAAAGCAGCTGTGACATGGACATTTTCAGATGTGTCCCAGAAGCAGCGCACTGCCCTACTAAATATAGGCTCGAGCTCTATTTTTGCCGCAAGCCGCTTCTGGGACGTGACAATTTCCGCAGTTAGCATAGAGCTAGACAGGAAATCGCACATGGTTTCAGTATAAACCCTCTGGTAATTTTCAAAATAAAAGACTATTGCAGCAGTGCGATTTCATATCTTTGTAGATTACGTCAATGCAAGTGACCTAAAGGCTTATTTAATCCTAGCATCTTTCCAGAAGTGCAACTATGTGTTTTTATGGCTTTAAAGGTGCATTATGTAAAAATATAATGAGAATTTTTCAGTGAGAAAATCCCGAAAGAGTCTAGTGTTTTAATCATTTTGGAAGGAAGGCTATACTGAAACATAATTCATTCCCAGCTGGCTGCAGGGATTATCAGTTTTTCTCCCTTCGAAACAAAGGAAGGGGGACATAGCTATTGTTTACCATCAGTGAGTGTGGGGGTGCCTTGTCTCCTGCGAGCTAATACTGCAGCACCAACAATTGTAATTTGATGACGGCCGGCAAAAGCTCCAGAGATGTTTTAAGTGGTTTCAGTAACCAAATTTCACCACAGAGTGTTATTTTAACTTCCTTTCTACATAAAGCACCTTTATTTCCTGGCAGTGGAAGCAGAGAAGCCACTCTGTGATTGAGATTCTCCCGATGTGTACTGGCATGTAGCGAAGCTGGCGAGTAATTATTCCACTATTGTTCTTTGATGCTGATGCCTCCAGTGTGAAGTAGGCGTTACACCTGCTGATTATATATATATATATATATATATATGTATATATATATATATATATATATATATATATATATATATATATATATATATATATATATATATATATATATATATATATATATATATATATATATATAAATAAACCGTTTAATTCTGTGAATTAGGAAATAATGTAATAACCCCCTTTAGATTACGGTTGCAAATTCTCATGAAACCACTTCTTGCCTTAAAGCAGTCAGATGGAGTATTATTATTTGTATTTTTTCATAAACCTGCCGTATCTTGTCCTGTACATGTCTGCTGTCCTTTGGTGTACAGTCTGCAGGTGGCAGGGGCCGATTTTATTTCTTTAATTACTGTTGTTCTATTGTTATATAATTACATAAGAAAATAAAACAGATTAATACACAGTTGATATTTTAACATTAGTTAATAAATAGTTCAGTGTATATACTTATGATTATATTATATTATATTGTAAAGCCCTTCATTTTGATGCAGTTCCATATTTTGCCATTTTTAAAGGGACAGTTGTTGTTTTAGTTGGATTCTTGTTAAATAAAATTATTAATAAATTTAAATGGTAGACTGCATGATGATGAATATGATAATATTGACCAGTGGTTTTCTGTTTGTTTAGTTTTTAAGAGTTGTAACCTAAGTTGTGTGTGCAGACCGTTCCCACGCTTACGGCTACGTGCCGCTGTCAGGAGACGACTGAGAAGGCGAATCAGCACACTCAGACGAGTGTGATAGAGAGCAAGAGCTTCGCCTCACAGACGCTGTGGAAAGAACACACAGTAAGAACAACACACAGCCAGATACACAGTGTTGGTTCTGCAAAACAAAAAAGTAGCACCGGAGGTGAAAATACCACACCTGAAACAAAATGAAAGATAAAACAAGCCAATAAACCAGACTTCCCTTTTCACCCTTTTTAAACTTTTACCAGAAATGGTCATGATTCTATAATCATTCTCCTCGACTCTTTGGTGGTGTGTGTTTGAACAGTGAATTATTTCCTTTTTGGTGCCTTTTTCTATTTTTTGTGCTGTGTATCTATGTCTATAGGATCAGTTTGGCAAACTTTATCAGTTGCATTTCAGCCTCATTTCAGCCTCTAATTCTACAGCAGAAACGGTTCATATGGAAACAATTCCGTTAAAGCTGTTATAGCGAATCTGCAAAGAAGTTTTGAACGCTCACCCCTCCTCTCGGGTATCTTCCCTGAGGCGCTTTTGCCAGATCCGGACACCCGTGTTGTTGGAGGAAACCAGATGGTGCTAAACACCAGTCACCATTTTTAGGTCCAAATGTCTTTTGTTGTCCGTGACTTCAAAAAGTGTTTCTTTCGGGACTCTGGTTGTTTGTTCTAAAGCTGAAGTGGAAGCAGCCGGCTGTTTCTCCTTCTCTGATTATTGAGCAGAGAACCTCTCACACCAGTGGTGTTCTGTTGCTAAATATGTGATTGAGTAATTAACCAACAACCGGATGGTCCAATAGTTGCTTTTGGTTCGAAACGTGTTACTGGTGGAGGTGTTTAGACAAATGCAAGATAACCTTTATTCATTTTTTTATCTCCACAATATATTTATAGCTTTAGTATGCTGTTAAGAGAAGGGGAAAATGTTTTAAGCGAATTCGTCTTCCAAATTTGCATTTGCAGCTTTATTTCAAGAAAGAAAGAAAACAATATTTTACACAGCGCCTCTCAAGATAAAAATCACAAGGTGTTTCACAAGAACAAATACAAAAAAATGAAAAAGATATTAAAAGTGATTTAAAGAACATCATAAAAATGAGAAAAATAAAACAAATTTGTGATAAAAAATGAAAGGAAAGGGAAAATGAATAACGAAGAGGTAATCAGTGGATCCTGGAAACGGCAGAGTTGGTAGAAAGAGCAGAATAAGGAGAGGGTGATGAAGGTCACACCAAAGCCAGCTTGAACAAGTGTGCTTCAGCTGCTTAAAGGAGACCACTGAGTCCACTGATCTCAGGCTCAGGGTGAGAAAGGTCCAGAGTCTGGGGGCCACAGCAGCAAATGATCTGTCACCTTTGGTCTTTAGCCTGGTGCTGCACAACCAGTAGGCTTTGGTCACTGGACCTCAGGGACCTGCTGGGGGTGTAAGAACTGAGAAGATCGCCAACATATGAATCAATTATTTATAAAGCACCTTCCTACCAACAATCAATGTAGCCCAAAGTGCAGAAGGCAACACAATAAGCTCATATAAAAAATGTAGATATATTGTCTAAAATTGAGGTAAACTGAAGTGCGCCCTGTTTTAAAATAAAATAAAAACTAAGCAATATTTAAAAACATTAACATTAAATAACCACACATAAAAACAACAGTGTTAGAAAACTAAAAGCAGCTGAATGAGTTTAGACGGGTTGGGTTTGTGACCTCATAGCCAACAGTTTAGTTGCTGAAATGATGCTTTTCATGTGCCGACATATTTTAGCAGGTTTTGTACAGCGTTAAACATCAACATTGTTTCCACAGACCGTCATTCTGGATCCTGAGTCACTGATTTAGGATTCACAACACCTCTTTAGTTACCTAGTTCATCAACCCACCAACTGAATCTGGACATTTCACCAAAGGAGAGACAAATACCAAGAACTGATTTTGACAGTTGACATATTACCCAGAGGGTGAGAAGTAGGGTGGGGGTAGGAAACTGTTCTTTCTTTAGTTTCTGCTTCTCAGTGTTTAGTATGAAAATCCTCTTTTCCTGTGTGTCTCAGGCTTTTCCTCCTGTTGCTTTCCTCTCTCCATCCTGGCAGTATCAGCGCTCCAGGCCTTTCAGGGGAAGGCCAAAGCCCAGCATCCCCTCCCACCTTGCTAGAAAAAGTGAGTCACATGACCCTTTGTGAATTCTACATGCCGCTGACTCACCTTTATCCCCTCATATGTTTCAACTTCTCAAATTTTCTCTAAATTTTTGCAAAGTCAAATAATTCAGTATAAAAGCAGCAAGACTCTTAAGAAATCCTCTGAAAGATTTTCAGAAAGTCTGAAGAACTTTTAATTAAAACCACTTTAATGACTTTATTTCAACAATCAGCTTTCTTTGTCTTTTCTGTCTCCTGCTTGTCCCTTTTTCTACTTTAGACTCCAAACTAGTTGAATCTCCTCCTCCAGCATGGCTGAGACATCCCAACCATTCACAAGAGTGCTGAAATCTGAGTGACGTTTGTTTTTCTGTCTAACTGACCTCCCCCTGTCCTCTGTGTGTCTATTCTCTCCTCCATGCCTTCGACCAGGAGTGGAAAGTTTAGTGCTTTACTTCAGTGACTCAGTGTGGTACGGTAGCAACTTTTTACCTTCCTCTTACCTCATCCTCCTCCTCAGTCACCAATTATTTCTCACTTTTTATTGCACCAATAATAACCAAACCAGTTGTCGGGCTTCTGCTGGAACAGATGAATAAATCAAAGTGTTGAAGCTGAATTTAGTTATGGGACTGATAATTATGTGGTGTGCTGGTCAGAGGGAATCAGTTCTTTTTATCTTAAGACATAAGTTCTATAATATCTGTGGTGCGATGGTTTATAAACAAGCTGGGATTATCTTGTTAAACTCTTGAATATGGTCCTGGTGCACATCACCACAGCCCACCCCCGTTCCTCAGCTGCTGTGTCCTGGTGGAGCTGAGGATTGTGGGAGTTCTGGCGAGCACGCTGACCCCACTGCAGACGACGAGCCTCCATATCAGAGACTTCATGTGGTGCCTTAAATCCTCCTGAGCTGCTCTGCAGATTAACTCTGAAATGTTGTGGATATTCCTGCTGCCTCTCTGAAGCTTTGGCTTTTCCTTTGAAAGTGTTCCTGTGATGGTTATCATGTCAGCCATCGACCAGGGGAATAAATTAGCAGTAGAAGAAAGTTAAATCTGTCTTATCTGCATGTGTGATGTGATATTGTGGAACTGCAACACTTCTAAAACCCTAAACCCCTCCAACAAATCCAACTCAAACTGTTCTCTAAACCTCCCTTAGATAACGTTTTCCCTCATCAGTCCGAACGTCTCCCATGGCGCTCAAAGCCTTCGCCTCCGCTGTCAGAGCTCACACCATCTGAACCTCTTAATGAGTTGTGCTTTTATTTTATTTAGACAAAAATCTAACTGAGTCAGTATTGCTCTTCAGAGTTCAAATAAAAATGAAATAACAAGAAAATGATTGCAGGACCTTTCCACTACACCCACTAATGTTTAAAGATGACTTTCTAAAGAAAATCCAGCTGCAGAAGGACAAAGGGATCATTCAGGAAGTGGTGGAACATCACAGAGGAGATTCTTTGGTCCAGAGACTCTTTATGAACAACAATCTAATTACTTTTGTGATAAATAATCATTTATTTTGGACCTGCCTAGGGCTGAACCATTTTAGGAAAATATTGAATTGCGATTTTTCTAGAAGAAATTGCGATAAAGCTTGTTGGCAGATGGAAACATGAAGGTCTAAAGTGTCCTGGTAGGTGTCTGTGTTGACTGTAGACTTCAGAGGACATGGAGACCCACATCATCACTGACTTACATCCGTCCTGGTGAAGGTCCCCCAGATTCCTGAAATGCTTCATGTTCAAAATCATTACAAAGCTGTGGTTCTCCCTCTTGCTGCTGCAGCTTCCCCTACCGAACTTTCTCCTTCCACTAAACTTTCAATGAACATGCTTTGATGCGGCACTCTGAACAAGCAGCTTCTCTAGCAATGAGCTCTTGTGGACAGAGTAAAAAAATGTCTTCTGGATACTTGTCCAGTCAGCATTTGTCCCTGTGATTGTGTGTCCTACTGAACGACACTGAGACCATTTAGAGGCTCAGGAAGCCTTTGCAGGTGTTTTGACTTAATTAGCTGATTAGTGTGTGACACCGTGACTTTCTAGTTTTTGCTTTACTATGTTTGAGAAGACTCATTGTTCACCTAATTTTGGGTTTTCTTATCTGTAAACCATAATAATCAACATAAAAAATAATGGCTTGAAATATTTTCACTCCATGTGGATTGAATCTAAACAACCGATGAGCTACACCTTCTCAAATAAGTCCAAACATGTAGATATATATCGATCTATATAGATAGATGTTGATATATATACACCATTTTCAATATATTCAAATCTTCTAATGCTTTTATTCAAATAATAATGCACCATGTGAAACATGTCTAGTTCTCTAAAGGCTTTGAACATACGTTTTCTCTAAACTCTTCCAAGTCTACCAAAGATGAATACTAACAGAAAGTACATTTATTAGTTTAAAGTCAGTAGACTTGTTTGTAGTATTTTTTTTTTTTTTTACATTTTGCCAGCTCTTGTTTGGACTCAAAACACTGAAATGTGTTTTCTCAAACATGTGAGTTAAGTGCTGCAGTAAAGGAATACGATATTTGTAATAAAAGGTCTGTTTGTAAGGCCTTTCTCAGCGGCCTAGTGGTAGAGTGTCCGCCCTGAGACTGGGAGATCAGGGATTCGATTCCTGGTCGGGTCATACCGAAGACTTTGAAAAAATGGGACCCAATGCCTCCCTGCTTGACACTCAGCATTACGGGGTTGGATTGGGGGGTTAAACTACCAAATAGTTCTCGGGCGTGGCTGTGTCTGCAGCTCACCGCTCCCCCAGGGGATGGGTCAAATGCGGAGAACAAATTTCGCACACACACCTATGTGTGTGACAACTAATGGGACTTTGACTTTGACAAAGGTCACTGACATACAAATCATTTGAAAAAAAAAAGTTCAGTTGGACTGAACCATCTAGGTTTTATCTGGCTTTTCAGACACTATATGATAGATGCATATAGCCATCAGTTAAATGTGTCTTTAGGGGAAAATGGACCTCTGGGGAAAATTGCTGCTCTTTCTGGCTATAAACTCTGGAAGCTCAGCAGCTGAAAATGTTGTGGTTTAAGGTAAATCCTATTGATGATGCTCCGTAACTCTACAGAGAGGTCACCTAAAAGCAGTCTGTTATAATCGCATTAAAATATCAGTCATGGATTTTTCAGGCTTTGCTTTATGATGCGTGACTATAGAGTCATGTCATGTGGGTAGATGCATTTTAGGAGATCCACATCGGCGTCGTTGTTTCTCTAATTAAAGCTACGTGAGCATTCTTTACATTCCATCCCTCCTCCTGCACGCTGACTCCGAGATGCCTGAATCATCACTCGCCCTGTAATGACACAATAATCAGAATTATTCACCTCATCTACATGCAAAAACGGGACTCTGCAGAGCTCCATTATTCTGCTAATAATTTTCAGAGTAATTGAGTATTTTGACAGCAGCTCATTGCCTGCAGCTCAGCACTAAAAGCTCATGTTTATTCATTATTGCCACGCATCTAATTGTTGATTTAAGTGATGATGCAGCCTGGGGTGATATTAGTCATCTAATGAGCCTCCAGGGGGCAATGAGGGGCCAGTTTGAGTGGATCAGCACTTTACAAGAACAAAAGAGTGAGTGCACATGTTTAACTGTTCCGTAAGTCATCCGAAAAACAGTAAGAGAGGAAAGACTTGGTAATGAAGTGAGACTCTTCATTGCTCTCCAATGTCATTAACTTTTTTTGTCCTTCCTTCAGTGTGTTTTCACTCCTGTTTATGCATTAGTTCTTATTTTGTCTCATTTTTCTTCATATTTTGAATCTTCTCTTTAATATCTGCATCCAGTCATGCATCATTTATGAGGATTGTATTGAAACCTCTGAGGGAAGCAAGTAGAAAAACAGGCTGCAGTTGTGTGATCTGCCAGCAGATGTCAGTGTTTAGCTGTGAATGCTGCCTGTACTGCCGCAGCCTCATTCCGACCCCCAGATGTTTTAAATGATAGATTCAATGTAAAAACTACAAATGAATAATTTTTGATTTTTGGTGACACTAAAACAATATTTCATAGATGTACTCACCATTGTACTTTACATGAGATACTTTATTTAGCTTTTTTCTGATCATATTTCAGAAAAAGACCCAGTTTGCCTCCTTTTTTGAGTGAATTATAGTATGCATTTAATGTATATAGTTTTAATTTAGCCGTAAATTATGTAAAGTCTTTTCAGTTTTTGCACAATAATGTATCAAACCACAATTCATATCAGAATGTTAAACCAATCTTCCTTCTCTTTGTTTCACTAGTTACAGTGCAGCAAAGTCACACGCAAATAAACATTAGTTATTTTAATGATTATTTCTAATTCTAATCCGACAGTGTTTCATGCAGGCTGAACATGAAAATAGTCTCCTACACCTATCTCCTGCATTAGCTTCTGACAGAAAATAGACAGTAAAACTCTAGGATTAGAGTCAGATCTATGTCACACTGTCACTTAGCATTCATGGACTCACCCATTTTGACTCGAGACGGGGAAGGCTGTTGTTGGTTTAGAGTACAGGAAACAGCAGAGAACGTTTTAGCTAGCATAAGCTAAAACCAATGGGCGACAATTAGCATTGGGCGACGGTGGCACAGGAGTTAAGTGCTCGCCCCGTAATCGGAAGGTTGCAGGTTCGAGCCCCGCTCAGTCTGTCGCTGTCGTTGTGTCCTTGGGCAAGACACTTAACCCACGTTGCCTGCTGGTGGTGGTCGGAGGGACCGGTGGCGCCAGTGCTCGGCAGCCTCGCCTCTGTCAGTGCGCCCCAGGGCAGCTGTGGCTACATTGCAGCTCATCACCACCAGTGTGTGAATGTGTGTGTGAATGGGTGAATGACTGGTTGTGTTGTAAAGCACCTTGGGGGGTTCCAGGACTCTAGAAGGCGCTATATCAAATACAGGCCATTTAAGCTAACTGTTAGCATTAGCAACTCCACCACACAGCAGAACTCCTCTAGGTTTGTGATATTTTGTGGGTATAAAACATTGACGTTATGGAGTAAAAGGAGTCAGTGTAGTGTTGTTGTCGGAGAGATGTCCAAAATATCTGTAAATAAGACTCCCAAATCCTGTCGTCTGAAGCTGCTTTCTCCTCTGGCTGAATTCTCTGTGCTGAAACTGGCGCGTCTGAGCTCCCCCTCCCTGTACAACTTACAAGGCACTCCTTCCTACAAGAGACCACTGCAAATGTATTGATTAAACAAGTGTTCAACACCTTGAAATTATTAGTTTGATGTTTTGGTTTAACCATTTTGCAGCATCTGCGATCTGAGGTGTTGTAGAGCTCTGAAGAACAAAAACACATAACAAGAACAACCAAAATGTTGATGTTTACGCTCAGCTGAGACATCTGTGTGATCTCCGCTCATCACCTCTCTGTTTGCCTCTTCACATCTAAAGAGAGAAAATCAACAACAGACTCTCAATATAACTGCATGACAATTTTCCCATTGGAGAAACACACACACACACACACACACACACACACACACACACACACACACACACACACACGCATAAAGGCAAACAAATGAAAAACAGGTTCTCACACTCAGATCAAAGTTGTGGTGTGTGAAATGACCAGCTATCTGTGAGAAGAACTCTGTTTCTTTCCTTTTCTGCTCTAATGTTGATCAATGATGTAACAGAGTGTTTTCTGTATAACACTGGCTGCTTACAAGTCAGCAACCTCCCTGAAAACTACATCACAGGTTCTGTTTTATTTAAGTCCAAGCTCACGTTTCTCAGAACAGTTGTTTATCATGTCTGATTTGCTGCATCAGCTGATAAAAATCTAAACCTGACATTTTTATTTTCCAGTCACCGATACTTCACTCCTCCGATCCAGAAGACCAGAAACCACTGACACATCAAGCACCGCCTCCAGGTAACTCCACTTATGCTGAAATGCCCGCCCACAGGCTCCTCCCCTTTCATAAAACCGAGGCCACCGACTGTTCATTGCAAAGAGGAGGAAGTGATGGAAAATGTCAGTTGGAGGAGGAGGAGGGGAACAGCAGGAGAGAAACCTGCAGACCCAGGCTGCCCCCACAGCCCTCCAGGCTGTGCCACTTCCTGTTCCGCACGTCCAGCTCCACCCTAAAGTCTCAGAAACCAAGGCAACCATCAGGACTTTGTGAGTCAGACTGTGTAGGACCTTCGGGGGTGAAGCTCAAAGCTTCTCCCTCCAGCTCTTCCCGCCTCCCCAAACCTAAAAGCCACTGAGGTGAGCAGCAGTCTGAGTTCTGTCAGTAACAGCAGAGCATGGCTGCCTTTCCTGTATCTGACCCCTGACCTCTGCCTGTAACCTTATTATTTACTAATATTTGCGTCACTGCTTCTTAATCCCAGCCCCTCTGATACCATCAAGTTGTTCAAAAAGAAGCAAAAAGAAAGATGGCAAACCCTGACAAAAAGCAGTGTTATGTAGGCTAAAATGAAGATGCACACAATCTGGAGCCTCGCCCCGATTCTCACCCCGATTTCTGTCTTCCCTGTTTGCTTGGAGACGGAGACATTATTTATTACTGGACCCAGATATATTGTGCTGCTCATGATATTCTAATATTTAAGGTCCTTTGATGTTATTTCACAGACTCCATCTGGCTCCATCTGCCCTCGCTCAGAGAGGAAGTTAAGTCTAGAATCAAACGGAGTCAAAAACACAAGACCAGCTGGAACGTTTAGAAAAGATTTAATCCAAGTATTTGCTTTTACAGACAAAGCCATCTGTGCAAAGCTCTGAGTAAAAACTTTTCACTTAAAGTTTTACCTCTAAATCTCTGAAACCAAACTAAAAAGTAAAACATTCCTTCAGTGACACTGTCTGACTGTTCCTCCTTCATCCTCTGAGTCTTCAACACCAGATAGTCGCTCCGTCAACATGCAAGCCTTTGTTCTGCTGCCCATCATCCCCTTCGGAACGTTCTGACACTAAAAGCTCTCCAGTCTCTCAGGACTTCAGTTCTGGCTTTCTTAGTCTTGTTGTCTTTATTTTGGTTTGTTCAGGTAAAATCTCATTTTTTGTAAAATCTTTTCCTTCTAAACCGGTTTCACCTTTTTCTTTGCACCACTTGAGGAATGTAACACAGCAGCTCCAAGGATGTTTTCCTTCTGCTTATGTGATGCTTCTAATGAACCAAGTGATCTTTTACCACATCTCCCTGAAAGTTTTCCAGATTTCATAAGAAACTGGCTCTGAGGGTTGGAGATCAGAGGATGTGAAGCAGACTAAGGACTTACACATGGACTGACAACTTGAGTCTCTGTTAAACTCAGTGAAACCATCCCTCTGTGTAGCTGCTGAATTATTTCATCATTAACATTCAGGGGAAGAGGAGCCGTTTGCTCAGCGTCTCTTTCCTTCAACAGAAACCTGACATTTGAGCCGTCCTCTATCTCCCGGAATGGTTCAACTTAACGGCTCCTCTTCAGACTTGATGTCACATTTCAGTTCAGAATCTGAAAGCAGCACACATTTCCAGAAAGATGTTAACATTTTGTTAAGTCAACCAAAATGTAGTCACTTGGATTTCTTCGGTAAAATGAACCCACTGACATTTTCCCTCCGCTGGCGCATCAACCCCAACCAGTAAAATATCACCTCCTTTGTATCCACGGTGATCTCTCGGCTCTGCTCGCTGCTACCTTATACAAAACTATATGCAATAAGATATGCAACAGTGTTCATGAAACAGACATTCAGAGGCAGAACAGAAAATCACAATGCTAAACCAGCTTTGCTTAGTGGCACAGTTGAACAGCTGAGGATGGTAAGTGACTGCAGAAAACCTCAGAACAAGCACATGCTGGCACTTAGAGAGACAGGGGTACGAGCTAGAGTAAAACAAGTCTCATGTGACTACAGCAGCTTTGTGTTCACATCTGTTTTTATAACAAACAAAATAAATACTTTGAGTTTTGGATTGTTGATCAAATAAACAGGATAATCGCACTCAACACATTCTTGTCCTAATAATAAAATTCATCAAGAATTATTACTTGAATCCCATTTTGACTGATGGGAAAAAATGCATTAATATTGGTCACTGAAGCAAAATTGCCACTTTATTTACTCGTAACATTTCTGGATTCCCAAAAGAAACAATTTTTTAATATTTTAATCACAAAAATCAAGTACAGAAAAATTCCAGGAATGGAAATCCCAGAGGACTTTTCTCATCCATGATCTCACAAGTTGGGTTATGGTGGATTTAAGTCTCATATCAACATACATTTAACCACAAATATGAGCTATGGGATGTTTCTAGTCTCCATGGTCAAAATAAGTATTCCTAGGAGAGAAACACGAGTCCAGAAGATCCATTTTAAGTGAGTCTGATGACAGAGGCTTGTTGAGGCAGAGCTGAGGCTCAGCAGAGAGGAAGGGAAGTTGTTTTTATTTAAATCTTTCAACCAAGCCCTCATCGCTTTATACTTTCTTTAGCAACAAACAACATCCTGCCTGTTTCCTGACTTTTCTTTAACATTTTGTATTGTCTCTCTTTGTGATATTCATTATTTTGTCTATAATCCCACATTTGTGGTTGTGTGACTTTTCACGACTTTAGCTTTATGTCCTCCTCTCCGTCTTTTGCCTTCGTCTTGCTCTTCCCTGCATTATTTGACAAACGGCTGTTTGTCCAGAAGTAAATCAGCAGGTTCAGCCCAGGTCTGGTTGAAGCTTGTTGTCATGGCAACGCAGCGTTCATGTGGATTTACAGAACATCCTGGGCTTTTCCCGTTTATTCTTGTTAAATTAATTGGTTTTCTTGAGCGTGTCACACACACGCATCATTATGTACCCTAGGTGTCCAGCTGGTTGGTGGACATGACATCTTTCAAGCAAAATATTCCAGAATATAATTTCTTTACAAAAATACTATTAAAAATATATTTTCTTTGATGTAAAATGCATTTCTTTTACTTGGACGTGGTTGCATTTACACTCTAAACACTCGAACGTTTGTGTGATCTAAATCACTCACATCTGTTTTTCTAGTTCTGCCCTCTCAGACTAGAGGAACTCTCTGGTTCTGTGGCCTGGGTGCATCTGCCATTAAACGGGGGAGAAGTTCACTTCTGTAATGAGTTCTTATCATTTGTTTCTAACAGAGAGCCCACGGAGGATTTGGGAAGTAAAATTAGAGCAGATTAACTGTTTCTGATAGCTGAAGCTTACTCTGGATTTAGCAGGTGAATGTTCTCACAAACTTTAAAGATCAGATGCAGATTAAACCTGAAGGTTCTTTTATCTGGGGGAGAGATTTGGTCATGATGAGAGCGCATCTTATCTGTCTCAAAGCAGCTCGTTTATCTGTTGAATTCACCAACTGGCAGCAGCCAAGTGGCAACCAAATGGCTGATTCTTCCCTGAGAAAGTTAATAAATGACCTGTAGTTACTTTTCATCAGCAGTCCATAAGCCAAACGTCGACTCGAGTAAAAAAAACCTTCAGTTTGTATATTTGTGAGGCATTTTTAGTTTTGTTCTTCTGTAAAACGTTTACTACCTGTCTGGAGTTTTAAGGCAGAAGCAACAACAGAGATGTTTTTGTTAAACTTCCCACGTTCAGACAGAAACAGAAGAGTTGATTTAAATCTGGCACTCGTTAATCTGTGTTAATCTCGTAAATCTTCCAACTCTCTTTATAACCTCTTCTCTAAACCCGTGTTTGCACAGATGTGAAAAAGATCAATTTGTCAAAGAAAATTTAAATTCTGGTTTCAGCAGGTATCACAAAAATGACTTAAAGGATTCTCTGGTCAGTACTTGGATGCTAAGATTCAAACACATTTCTCCAACACGACTGGTGGAAAAAAACAAGTTCTGTCTCGCTGAACCTTTATTTAATTAGGACATCACTACAAGTGATTGTTTTCTTTGTTTAGGAGGCTTGTTTCTTAACAAAACCTTGTATCATCTAGTTTGTTTTGTGACTCCCATCTGATTTCAGGATGCTTGTAGTATGTTTTGTATCAGAAAAATCCCCAAACTGTTTGATTTTGAAGGTCAAAATCACTGCAGGCAAACACTCCGGGAGTTTTGGGTTTCATCAGAAAAGGTGATGCTTTAAATTTTTGGATAAATGCTCAAACGGGAAACAACTACTGAAGTCTGGCCTCTGTGTTTGAAATGAAGGAGTTTAGACATGCTCAGAACAGGTTTCCAGAATAAGTGTTTATTGTAGATGATATGTTAAAATATGTTATTGTAATTTAATTTTTAATACTTTGTTCATGTAGCATTTCCACTGTTCAGGTTCATATTACTCACTATGGATGTCTTTTTACTGTATTCATGATGCTCATTGTATTCTGCCCTCTGCTGTAATCCCTCTGGGGAAATGCTTTTATTTTGAAAACTTGAAGGAGAAAACAGCCTGCCTTTTCCTGTCACTGTTTTGTGCAATAACTGCAGGGGTGGTTTACTTCTCTTTAATGTAAACTCTAATTTATATGACTGTAATATTCATTGTTAACTCAGAATGAAGAGCTTGTAAAACACCTCAGCCTGAAGAAGCACTTTAGAGGAAATGAGGCGACGCTGGACTCCACCCACTAAAGCGTCTCATCTTTTATTTTATCTCTCTGTGTGTTTATCAATGCTGCATTCATGTCACTCAGGAAAAACCTGTATTTCATTCTGAAACTTGAAAAAAAAAATTCAGACACAGAAAAAAAAACTTTTATTTTGTAATTGTTCAACTGTAAAATTTGGATACACAAAAATACAATGAAGAAAAATGTAAACTTGTTCAATGTTTCTGTTTGATTAGTGTATTTTTTTAAACTTTATTTTGGAAAAAATGCAAAGAGCCTAATCTGAAATCAAAATAAAATAGTTTTTAAGTGATGTGAGATGGAAAAGAACAGTTTAAGCAGAATTTACACTTCATCTATGAGCTATGAAAGAATAAACTAGAGAAAATTATGTCCTAGCAATTCATATTTTTCAACAGACAGTAGAAATTTAAATTTGGAAAAGGAATCTTTGGTTTAACTGTGGGCATGAATGCAGCATTAAATTAACTGTTTTTGTTCATCATTCAGGTTCAGTCCTCTGATTAACTTTGACCTTTGTAGTTTCATGAGAACTTGTATCAGCTTGGTTGGTTGAACGAATGAAGCTGTTTCAGGTTCTTGAAAAGGTTCTGTCAGTTTGATGTGAGCTCAGTTCACCTTTGACCCGACTGAAGCTAAATCAACTCATGTCTTAGAGGAAATAATTGGCGCATTCCTGTTTATTTGACTACTGAGGCTCTCTGCAGCTCGTTTGTGAATATGTATGGTTCTTATTGGCTGAGATGTGTCTGATGCTGCTAAAATAAAATGAATCTGCAGAAAAACTGTTTATGGGTTTCTTCTGTGCTGTTAGCTGTGATGAGTCATGGCAGCCATTTCTTTTTTACCTGCCTGGTACTGGTCCAGTGGACCCAGGTCTGCCAATATTTAAACTAACACGTAACCGGGTTTGCTGAAGTCTGTAACAAAAACAGCTGTATTAAACTTTCTTTGTTCAGTAATTTCATGATCAAAACTGAGGCAAAGAGCAATTTAGGAGGTGAAAGTGCAGGGGTCTCATTTATCAAACATTGCGTTGAATCCTTACTAAAACCGTACTTAAGCTCAGCAAAAAAAAAAAAAAGTACTTGCGCCAAGCAGGTTTGTGATCTATCAAACATGGAGTACGCACAGCTGCACGTAATCTCCGCTTCATAAATCGGAGACTAACGAGAATGTTTCTCAACTGCATTTTAGTCACATCCCGCCCTCACCACGCCCACTTACTGCCATAAATAGTGCAAAGTGCCTTGTGGATCTCATGCATTTACATAAGCCGGCTGTTGCAGCACTCCGCCAATGACGATGGGGACCGTAGATCAAGGCAGATCAAGGAAGCGCAATTTCACAGAAGCAGAAATCGAGGTACCTGTGGGTGAGGGTGGAGAAATGAAAGGAAGTGCTTTTGCAAAACAAATAAGAGAAAATCCACGGAGTGGCGCAGCGTTGCTGAAGCCGTCAATGCTGTAAATTCTTCAGAGAGATCTGTGGCGGATATGAAAAAAAAGGTCCAATCAGGATTCAATCCCCAGACTCCCAGGTGAAAGTCATGCACGCTAACCAGTCAGCCAAATGGAGATCTTCCCTGTCCAACTAGCCCGGGCGTATGATCAATCGGACCACAGTGACAGGACACACACACTGTCACAGACACATGACATTCTGTCTACACCTGTCCCCCTGCTGATATTCTACATTCCGTATTCTGCACTTCAGGCTGTGTGTGTGTGTGCATGTGTGGGGGGGTCTTGTTCTGTGTGAAAACGAAGCAGTACAAGTGATAATACTGCAGGATTTCATAATTTTGTCCTTCTCAGCAGCAGCACTGCAGGTGCTCATGTCCAAAATGTGCGTAAGCCAGGTCCTTAGTCAACTTAACTTAGCGGAAAAATGTGCGCAACTTTTTCGTTCATAAATCTCAAAGTTTGCGTGGAAAGTTACTTACGCAGTTTTCCAACACCATTTTGTGCGTAAGCAAGCTTGTTAAATGAGGCCCCAGGACTATACCTTTTAAAAGAGATGTATATAACTCACCTTTTGCATCCTGTTGAGCTCCCATGTAAGTCTATGTTGCCTCTATAAACTCTTGAAATGGAAAAAACGATTTCCCCTCATATCCGTTAAAGAAGTCAGCTGCTGAAACACACACACACACTATAGCAACTGCTCAGGTGGAGATGCAGTAGAAAACTGGAGCCTGTTCTGAGTCGTGGACTGGCCATCTGGAGCACCGGTATATTTCCTGGTGACCTGACCGCTGAAGTGACCCTTTCTTTAACCCCCCTGTGAACCCAGGACCTTCTTGCTTCAAGGCAACTGCACTAAGTAACTACTAGCCCGTATCATTATCGTCATATTTCATTTATGCTTTATAGGTAATATAGATCTATGTGTAAGTGCTGGTTTAGTTTGTAATTGTTTTAAATCTCAAAACAACAATTTCACTCATGAGACATTATTCTTGACCCTTCCCTTTTCATCCATGTTCACATTGAGTTTTATGGCCCGCCAATCCCCTCTGCTCCTTCCTTGTTCTCTCCATCATTTTCTCACCTCTAACTGTGTGGGCGGGGTTAATTACAGCTGGGCTTTATCACGTCATTAACAGGAAGTTAATTAGAGATGTGTGCTGCAACATTAATCCATCCCCTGACTTCATTTTAAGAGCCTTTTCAAATTGTGATGGATTTTTGTTTAGTAGAAATAAAAGGAAGTTTACCGAGCTGCTATTGTTCTCCTGGAACACAAATGAAATGTAGCACCCAACCCAAGTAGCTAAGTGTTAACCCTCTGTTAACGTAGCGGTAGTACTATGAGTGGGGCCCTGGGTGCGTTACTTATTAAAATAGGTAAACAGGAGAAACAAGAGCTTTTACCTTTTACATCTAATTATTTAAAACATATTTATAACATATTTACAATTTTTATATTTTAGACTATATAGTGAAAATAAATATTTTAGACCAGGCTACAGAAACAAATCTGACCTGTCCTGTTCAGTGCCCTCTGGATGCTCCTAGTGTCATGACAAAAGAAGAAATGGATGCACTAAGAGGATTAATTAATTCATAAATTATTATTCATTTTAACAAATGGCTTATGAACCTGCTAACCAAGAAGCAGCAAAACATCAATGAATGTATTAAAAAGTCAACAAACAGTAAAATATGTTTTAACAACATATGCACCTGAAACCAAAAGAATGGGGAAAAAGTAAACAAAACAGTGATCGTCTGAGGCCTAGTTCACATGTAGCCGGGTTCTTTTAAAAACGAATATCCGCCCCTCCAAAAACTTGCATCCACACCACCTCGTTAAAAAAAAACTCTGTCCACACGTACCCGGATAAATACGTTGTTAAGGACATGCCAGACCTGTAGGCGGCAGTAATTCCCCCGTTCTTAACCTCGTCCTTCGTCTGTGGTCTTCCGCAAGGAGCAGTAATTCCGCTTGCAAAAACAAACAAGCAAAAAGCGCTTGGACAATTGATAAAGCGAGCACAGCTCTGAGGGCATCCATGCTGTCGGCTAGTGTAAACACAGGTCGCACACGTGATGTCAGCATTTTTTTTGTCGCGGAAAGTGACGTTGCGGACCTTAAAACTCCGGTTTTGTCTGTCCACACGCAGACACCCAAAACGGAGAAAACGCAGATCTTCACTTTGGCCGGAGTTTTTAAAAAGATCCGTTTTCGTGTGAAAAAACTCCGTTTTCGTGTGGATGACAGGCCAAAACGTAGAAAAATATCTACGTTTTGGCAGATCCCCGGCTACATGTGGACAGGGGCTAACTTTCACTGATCTATGGAGGTTTTCCTGATTCAAGGGTGGTGGTAGACATTCCCGTGATCTATAAACTTGACAGATATTTTAATGGATCAACTTGAACTTATCTCATAATTTAACAATAAGTTCCTTTAGACGAAGAATAAAACAGAGGAAGTACACAGTATACAAGAAACACAAGTCCTGATTATTAGAGATTGTAGCAGAACAAAGGAAACAAAGGCTGACACTTGAGGAGCTTTACTTAGTTCTGATCAAATTAATTCCCAGAAACCTTATCAGAAGGTGATGCTTGTGCAGATTACACAGAATGATTCAGCTCTTCTGGCCTCATTCATTCATTCTTTCATTCATTCACACACTTCATTTAGAAAAGTGGAGCAAACAGCCTCTAGTGTCTTTGCTCTGATTGCTAATTAGCTGCGCGAAGCAGGAAACCCTGCTTGAAACTGATTTGAAAAAGTAATCACGCATTTTCCAGATCAGAGACGAGTTGAGACAAAATGGAAATGAATGAAAACAGCTTTTCAGCTGCAAAATAAGCAGCAATCATCCTCTTGAGAAATGTGTCTAATATACAAACACATCAGTTCTTCTTTTCATCAGCAGGTGAAGTCAGATGAGTCTTCACCATGAGAGCAACGGCAATGTGTGAAAAACATGCTGAACAGCTCGTTTCTCTTCAAACGCACCTACCTGCTTCTAAGAGACAAAATACTGAAGTTAGAAAATGACCCAAGTCCTCTGGTGTCATCCCTTCTTCTTATTCTATAAAAATGTAATTCAATAATGAACTTTAAAAAGTACAACTTTAAAAATAATCTAAAAGAAAAATGAAAAGAATGAACAGTATAAGTTCTGATTTTATCGTTTTGTTCATTAAAAGTTTGCAAACACGAAACTGTTTGCACACAAGGGAAGACGTTAATTCTCACCGCAACTTTTCATAAACATATTTTTCATTCCTCTCTTTCTCTGGCTTCCTCCAGCTGGTTTTTCGTAGTTGGGTGACAGAAAACACCTTTTGAAATACCTGTATTTTTATTCTTTCACTGTCACTACAGTATTTTTACCTTTCCATTTCTATGAAAAGTGATGAGCAGTGGTGGCTGGGGAATTTTTTATCTGGTGGGGCACAGTTAGGCTGTGTACTTGTTAGCTGTGCTAACCACATATCACCACTAGAGGCGCCAAATTACCATTCTTTTGATAGAATACATGTTTTCTACCTCAACAATGACGCTAAATGACTTACTTAGACTTAGTTCCTCTGGCGCCTACTGGCGCATTGGGCGCAAAGTAATCGCCAGCGAGCTCTGTCGGCTGCGACGGCCTCGGCTTCATCCCATGACAGGTTCACGGCACGTAGGTCTTCGATAAAAGTTCTGCGCCATGTGATTTTTGGCCGTCCTTGTTTCCGTTTTCCGCGTCCTGGGGTCCACAGCATGGCCACTTTTGGTATGCGTGTTTGAGCCATTCGTAGCACATGGCCCCCAAACCGAAACCGTCGCTCTGCAACGACCTCAGCGAGTTGGCGTGTTCCCGTTTGGTGGTGGATCGCTTCATTCGTGATGTGGTCGAGGTAGGAAATGTGAAGGATGCGCCTGAGGCATCGTTGTTGGAACGCATTGAGGCGCTGTGTGATGGCCGCTGTCGACCTCCATGTCTCGCTCCCGTATATGGCGGTTGGAATGACGATCGTGTTGAATAGGCGGATTTTTGTTTGTAGCCCGATGGACCCAGACGCCCAGACTGACTTTAGCCGCCGGAACACTGCCGCTGCCTTTCCAATGCGACATGTGACGTCGCGGTCCGTGCCACCATCTGATGTGACTATGCTTCCCAAGTAGGTGAATTCATTTACCTCTTCAAGCCGTTGTTGGTGGCTGATCTGAACCACTGTGTGTGCACCGGCATAGCCCACTCGCATCACTTTGCTCTTCGCAGCACTGATCCTCAGCCCTGCTTTCCCGGCTTCATGTTCCAAGGTCGTTGTGAGTTCTA